ACTCCAAGAAAGGCAGGTGGGCCGAGGAGCTACCAGAGGTTCTATGGTCGTACCGGACCACCCAAAGAGAATCGACGGGTGAGACCCCGTTCTCCCTGGCCTTCGGCTCCGAAGCTGTAGTCCCAGTTGAGATCGGCATGCCATCTGACAGAGTAGAGCATTACGAGCCTACAGCAAATGAGGAAGAGCTGCTCCTCAACCTCGACTTGTTGGAAGAAAGAAGAGCAATGTCGCAGCTACGCCTGGCGGAATATCAGGGCAGAATGGCCATACACTACAACGTCCGTGTTCGACCTCGAACCTTCCAGGTCGGACATCTGGTTCTAAGGAAGGTCCAAACCCATGTGGGTGCCCTTGACCCGACCTGGGAGGGGCCGTTTGAAGTCAAGGGAATAGTCCGACCTGGGACGTACGTGTTGGCCGATCTGAAAGGAGACGTCCTCGCGCACCCATGGAACGCGGAGCCCCTGAAGCGTTATTATCCTTGAAATGCCGAAATGGTTTTCAATGGATCTGTAAAAACTGTTTCAAAAGAATTATGATCGGAATAAACGTGATGATTTAATTTCATGATTCCGAGTTCGACCAGAAATTAAATGGGGGCCACGGACTCCCACACGATCACATTCCAGCAGTCGATAAAAGTTTAATCCTCCAAAACCTAAGGGTACGAGGTACGATGCCAAAACCACTGATGAACTTAAAATTCAAACCTTCAAGGTAAAGGGACGATGTGAAAAGTTCAAAATGATCAAGCCTTTGAACTTGAGGGTACGAGGTGCGATATGAAGAACCGCTACGGACTTAGCATTTTAGCCTTTTAACGTTTTTTAAGTTGAGGGTGCAATGTTAAAAAATCCAGAGTTGGTGCAATGTATTGAATACTAGACAGAGATTCGAATTCAAAATTTCAAGTATTTTTGAAGGCGCGACCTCAAAAGTACGAGGTGCGAGGTGACATTGGCTTTAGCTTAAAGAAAAAGCAAAGAACGGAAGGCAACAAAGTAAAAACAAATGGGAGCCTCTTTATTGAATGGAGAGCAGAGCCAAGGCTTATAGACCTTGCAGCTCTGCCCTGACACTTACAAACAAAGGAGAAGAGAAGAAAGACAGAGAAAGGTCTCATGAAGGATGATCGCCTAAGAGCCTGCCTGAGGAGCACCCTCATGAGTGGTGCCGACCTGGTCCTCTTCGAGATCGGAGTAGTCAGAGTCCAGATCTCTGACATACTTATCCACCAACGCTTGAGGGCCAGGGGTGCCGCCAGGCCCAGACGCCCACTGCTCAGCATACCTCTTTTTCAGACCACTGAGATCGATCTGAAGGTCAGGCATGTCGGAAGCAATGCCCTTCATGAGGAACTTGAAGCCCGCGTCAGAGAAGTCTTTGGCAAATCCATCGAAGTCAGGATGTTGCCTAAACGATTCCTTCAATAGGACTCCATTACTGAGACGCTCCTTCGCCGTCTTCAGCTCGGCAGTCGCATGCTTCAGCTCCTCATCCTTCGCTTCAAGCGCCTGGAGCATGTCGTCCTTCTCCTTCAGGAGTTGGAACTTCTCCTTCTCCAAGCCCCTGGTGATAGCATGGGCAGCTCGGAGCTGGGCCTT